TTATCTTTACTTCCCTCCAAGATGTATACGTGATTTCATTTCTTCTGTGTGTTTCCAAGCAATCAGCCAGTTTTGCTACAGTACAGGGGAGTTTAGCACTGAAGGAAGTCAGTTTTTATGGCTGGAAGTGATTCACCAATTGGAACATCAGATCCGTGCTCCCAAATGACATGTTTAGGAATAGCGTTAAGGGCCAGTCTTTGAAGATGTTACTGTCCTAAGTGGGGAACAAGAAGGTGCAGTCCAATACATGGAGAAAGACACATGGAATATTCGCTCCTTGTGGCACTGCAGAGGCCAGCCAGTATAAGACCATCCCGGAGTGTTTGTGACTTGAAACCAAAGTGCTGAGTCAAAATGCAGCAGAGGCATAACTGTCCTCTTAACACTTCTCATATCAGTTAAATATCTGTCACTTCTCCATTGAAGGAATATTATTCTCAGAGTGTGAAAGATTCAGCTGGGGCTAGTTTCCAGGGAATTACACTTCAAGTGAGGATAAAGATTATTAATAAAGATTATTAATAATAAATATGTCAGGTCTCTTAGAAAGGTCTAGATGAAAACGTGGTCATTAGAAGCTGGGATGTCTTTTTCTCAGGAATTTTGTTTGTTTCCAGTCTGTTAATATACTTTGAGAACTTTGTTGAAATAGAGGCATCTTCAGTTATCTGGGACAGTAATAAAGGACTTCTTGATGTAATTACTTTGCAGTTCCCTGAAGCCTCTAATGAATTTTTTCACAAAGCTGTTGGGCATATTAAAAGTTGTATTTGCTGCATTATCATTCCACGCCCAATTGCTGCTATCAGAGTAGGGTAGAGCAATTCTGCAGAGTCAAGGGAGACTGAAGGGATTTCAGTATTAAAGCAGAGCGGAGCTATACTCACTGTTTAAACGGTTACCCAGTTACCTTTTTATGTGTTTTCTGTCCGCTTTGCATTTGTGTCCTCTCCATGTTATTCTGGCGCTTGGCTTCTTTCTGCCTGGGTAACTAATGTTCCTCCCTGCGTTCTGGGCAGGAAAGAGTGTGGAAGTAATATGCAGTATCCTGGGTAATATGAGTCACATTGCCAAGGTTGTTGGTATCAGGCTTTTGCGTTTACCTCTTTCCAAAAGGGTGGGTCCTTTGAAGTGTATTTTGTAGTTTTCTTCGGATACGTTGCTCTAGCCATTATATGAGCACATTTCTAATTATTTATTTTGGGGCAGAATTGAAAGGTGAGGTCATTATCTCCACTTACCTGTAATGCACTTCTGTGTAGGATTCTACATCAGGTCCATTTCTTGTTGACTGCATTATACGTTAATTATCTGAAGGCTAAACAGAAAAACTTAGTATGTATGGAAAAGTACAAAATTGCCAGTGAAGATTAATCCGTAAACAATAGGACAGAGAACACTGAGAAGACAACAATACTTCTAGAAATTGATACTATGCTCTTTCTTGAATCACTGGTGTGAATACTTAGTCAGAAAAAAAGTATGCCTTTTTTGCTAGTCAAGTGTATGCCTGGTGTAATGTTGTGCATCCCAAGTGGTGATGCGAGGGCTGCCCACAGCATTTCTGTTGTGTAGGTATTGGGTGGAGAGGTTTCATGTTTGGTTTTTGTGGAATATTTTACTGTTTCCACACATCATCTTGCAGCTCTGCAAGACCAGTGGAGTAGGTCCAGTTGACGCTGCAAAGATGATGCAGAGCAGCTAATGTTGTGGAAGACATGATTAGGTAACTTGCTTCTGTTTTGATGTCCAAACTAAGGGAAGAACAGAGCAGGAGAAGACAGAGTTCAAAGAAGAGGCAGGAAGGATTCAGACATGAAGAGCTCTTCATTTGAGAAAGACTGAATAGATTGCCACTGTTTAAAGAGAGTAAGAGAATAGAGAAATAGAATACTCAGAAAAACAAATCTGATGGGAAAAGGCAACCTAGATGCCTCTGCTTACTTTTATGTGGTCACACAAAGTTGATAATGAAACTGCAAGTCCAAAAACATAACATCTGTAAGGTGTGCTCTGTACCACATCATAGCCTGGAAATTCGTTGTCACGTGCTGTCATTATCTTAGCCAATGTTCCAGAAGAATCCAAAATAGAGGTAAATAATTGAATAATGAGAAGCAAGCAACTGTATCTAATACCTTCAGTTGTTTTACTTATTAAGCTGTGTAATGATTCATGACCAAACCTAACTTCCTGGCAGTAGGAAATAATTTTTTCTAGCAGCTTCAGCAGCCTACACGGAGGGGAAAAAAGTACGTCTCCAAAGCTGTTTGGGAAGCTGTTCCCACTTGGGTGGGAGCCTGAAAACTCCCGTTAACTCTCACTTTTAATGTCTGGCTTCTCAGTGTATGGAACATTGGTAAAATGGAAAAACTTAATGTCTTCCAAAACACATCTGAAATACATTTGGCAGTTGGGTGTCCCTCTCCACACGTCAGCATGCATAGGAGAAGCTGTGCAGAGGGAGGTGGTTAGCACATGAGCTTGAGTCATGGTAGATAAGTGTTTCTATAGCAGCCACCTCTGAGGGAAGGGGAGGATGGAGGTTCTCTAGGGACAGCATAGTGGTGCCTGCCGTGGCTAGAAGAAACTCAGTTTTGTCCATGTCTCGCTGGTGTTTGAAAGTTAAAATGTTAGTACAGAGCTGGATTATGCAATACTTCTATTAATGGATGGACTGACAATTGACAAAGCCTGTGTTTCAGTTGACTTTTTTTTTAGCATTTCAATTTGTTATTGTCATTGAGAGCAAATAATTTGAATAGAAACTTTCGCACTTGCAGGTCAGATTGTTTATCTACTATTTAATGCTGAGCGGATGAGATATTAAGCCTAGGTGATAACAGCCACAAGCTTTAAGATGGTCTTGTGCAGAAAAATGCAGCCTGGAGTATGTGATGCAACTTCCAAAGCCGTGTATTTCAACTTCTTTGATTTGCAGGCTGTCTTAAAATTTCCCTGCTAGAAGCATACCCCTGCATCCGTGAAGTTAAGTGAACTGGCCATAGGCTTGCTTTCCTGAGTAACCCATGGTAGATGCCTTAGAAATAGGCCATGACCCTGCATGATGCAGCAGATGAGAGGTTTAGGCCTCTGGCCTGATAGAATCAGTGAGCTGTGAGCAATGGTAATACGAGTGATGGGACATGTTTGTTAGCAAAAGGGTGTGTGGGTGCTTAAACGCCAGAGTGGAGGTGCCTGTCTTGTTTGATGGTATGCAACTTGTGACACACAAAATTGAAGGAAAACCTGATAGGAGGAAGGTGGTGGGCAGACCTCATCTCACTCAACAGGGTTCCTGTTGCTGTCTTATGCCAACAATTTTATGCCAAAAAAAATCGAGCCTGAAAACATGTTAATGGAGAATATATTAGATATATGTCCACAATGACACTTTGGTCTGGAACAGGTCAACCCAACTTCAGACTGTGTTCAAAAGGTTTAAGATACTGCGTGAAACAGTAATGGCTTTCTATGTGCATTGGATATTGAGATTATTTTAGGCTGCCGTATTATCTTAAAGCTGTTGGGGAAACTGGAGACAACTCTGAGAACAGCTTAAAGCATGAGCGTGGGTTGGGTAATCACCTTAGAAAAAAGTTACGAGAGCACTATTTGCAAACTGACAGCTCTACTGTGGGGAAAATGCATCACTACAAACAGCAGAACAGTGTACACACTAATAAAGGAGAGAATGATTGATTATAGTTGTTAGGATCGAGTAGTGAGAAGAAGTGGAGAAAGCTAAGCTTAATAACAGGAAACACTCTCTAGTCATGAGGTCTATTTGGGCTTCAAAAGTGTCTTACAAAGAAAATGGTGGTAGTTGTGCTAATTAAGATATTCTGAAATAAAGCTGATGAATCATTAATAGATGTAGAAACCTATGTCATGGTAAAAGTGGAGTAAATACTCAAAGATGTCTTGAGTATGAATGTCTGTTCAGAAGCTTCAGCAATATAGAGAAAGTGAAAACTGTCTTTCTGTGTTGAAGATGCTATCCATCCCTCTCTAACTGCCCCAATACCCTGTTTCAGGTTCCAAATTTCTCTTAAAGCAGCAAATTCCACAGGGTGACCAGTGCCAGGGAAGATTTTTTTTTCTCTGAATCTTGGGGAAGGTGACCAGTGCCAGGGAAGATTTTTTTTTTTTTTTTCCCCTCTGAATCTTGGGGGGGAAAAAAAATCAGCAAAGTCATAAAAGGAGGTAACATGAAATCGCCATCAAGGTGAATTGCACTGTGACTTGTTGCTTGTCCTCTGCCTTGTGCTGCTGAAAGTCCCAAGTTTATCAGGGTACAAGCAGGAGCTTTTTTAAAGCTTTGCAGTAGCTTTGGAATTCAGATACTTACCAAATGCACTCTAGCACAGGGGAAGAAAAATCATCCCCAGCAGTCGTTTCTTTCCTCACCACTTGCTGTTTGTGAAAAATTGTTTTGAGCCAAATAAAGATGTATTTTTAGATTTCTATGAATTTGTACTATATAATGAATAAAAAGAATGGTGCGTGTTTCAAAGTATTTGCATAGTTCTACACAATTTAGTAGCTCCATTTTCTTTAGAAGATGACTTGACTAATACAGAAAATTATTGCATGCAGTGACAATAATTTGCATTTTTAGTGCATCTCCTCAAGGGACCTATTTGTCGCTTACTCCGAAACTTCTTTGCAATGATGATGCAGTGCGCTGAAATCTTACAATGGAAGTCAGTCAAACTAACCTTAAATCACCTTGCTATTGAGGAAGGAAATAAGGTTCACATTTTTCTTCAACCTTTAGTGAGTCTGTACCATCCCAATGGGAGTGTCTCTCAGAGTTAGTTCCTGGATGGAAGGCATTAATGGTTCGTTTCATCCTACTCCCAGGTAATGAGGGTGGTATTCCTCTGTTCTTCAGTCCAACCTGCACCAGCGTCTTAGCTGCAGGATATGCTTTTTCTGTCTTCACTAATGTCTGTATTTGACAGACCTTTCCAATTTTTTTGATGTGATTTCAGCTTCCAAACAATTTGCTGAAGAAGTCTTGAAAGCACACAATGACTACAGGAAGAAACACGGAGTCCCCCCATTAAAACTCTGCAAGAAGTTAAACAGAGGAGCCCAACAGTGAGTTCAGCCCTTTCTTTTCTCTAATGAGATTTGTGACACTTTTATCTGTTAGGTTTGACTGTGCATACTACAAAAATATTTGCCTTTTGACATGCTGATATTCAATGAAGACTTACTGGGTGAAAAGTGAGGGACTCTACTCTTTCTGTCTCCCTACTGAACCCTTTTGATCCCTTCTTTCTCCATCACATAGCACCAGCTGGTCACATGGACGCTTTGGTGGTCACAACTGTATAAGTCTTTCTCACACCCTTTTCCAGATGTGGGCTGCACCTGTCTATACTGGTATGTCTCCTCTGCAGAGGGTAGTTGCCTAAAACATGCTTCACCACCACCTCTGTCAGATGATGGATTGTCATCTGCAGGAGAATATTCACTGCTGCTGAAATAGTGAGAAAAGAACTTTTTCATGGTAGGAAGTGGTGACTGGTCTAAGATCAATGGAATCAGAAGGAAGTAATTTCAGATCAAATTGTCTATCTCCCTGCCCCAAAAGCAAAATCAGTGTATGTTGTTCTCTAGTCTGTCAGGAGGGACACATCTTACCTCTTCTCCAGTGCTGAAGGCTGCACAACTTCTTGTCAGTCTAACGTACAGTGGATCCATCTTCCGGCTGCCTGACTTAAGTCTTCCTTACAGAAATTTGAGTCCAATACTGCTTGTCCTCTTTGCTGTAGACATGACAACCAGATTATTTCCTTTCCCTTTACAGTAACCTCTTTCAAAGTAGATTTGAAAATCTTCAATTTTTTCAGGCTGATCTTCACAGTACGAAGGAGATAGCTGAAGGAGTAAATGCTGATTAAACTATTCAGAAAACAAATGTCTTCCATAATAGCTAAATAGTGGCCAGTTTGATCCCTGCAGACGTGAGATCTCATCTCCCATTAGGCTTTCTACCATAACCGTGCAGACTTCTCTGCACTGGCTGGCTGGGAGCCAGAGAGGCTGTAGCCTTTCCAGAACCTGATTTACTGTCCCAGCATGGTGCTGCGCTGTCACACAGATGCACCGGCTCCCGCACTCCTAGACCAGAGATCTCCGCCAGGTGTTGTGCTGTACAACGCACCATGTACGTGGCGTGTGGACATGCCCTCTGGCAGCAAGCAAAATCTGATTCTGTCTTTATTTTTTCACATTTTTTTTTCTTGAGACACCGTGATAATTGGATACAATATTGCTAAAGGATGGAATGCCAGGGACTCATTCACATACCTTTGTAATCTGCTGGGGTTTTCCTTCTGTTCTTCAAAGGGTTGTTTTGTTTCTGTTTTACATGATGCCTCACAATGAGGAAGAAATTTCATTGACTTGTCAATAACACTTGTTGTGTCTCCAAAGTGCTACAGTTGGTTTGAACAAGTCAACTTGGATGAATAGTTCAGATTATTCCGTCAAATATACATTGCTCCACATTTATCTCTAAGTGCGCTATTGCCCTTGCTGGGTATTTTTAGATCCTTCTGGAATTCCTCACAGTCCTCTCTGGTCTCAGCTGACTTTTCCCACTGTGATGAATAACAATAGGAAACGTTTGTTTGGTTGCCGTCTGTAACTTGTAAGAACTAAAAGGCACGTGTTCAGAGGCTGGTGAAACTGGTTGATAGCAAGAACCAGAAATGGTTTGATGTGAATAAAAGACATGAAATATAAGAAATCTCATATTTGTCAAGACAGGATCTTAAGTTCAAAGAACTTCACCTTTTCTTTAGGTATATCTGATATCTTTGTTGGTATATATTCGGTGTATCTCTGGGTACTTTTCTGTGCTTCTCTATCTGTGTTGAAAATGGTCTGTTTCCTACTATTTTCAGTTCCAATAATTGCAATAGGTTAGATGAACTGACTATTGGATCCGTGCTTTAGCATGAGATGAGTCACCCTCAGCAGGCATCTGTTTATCTTTGACAATAATGAAGCATAGGGTGATGATCTCAGATGCAAATCTCATGCTTTCAACTGCCTGAGCTAGAGTGAATTAATCACCCTTTGTCTCAAATCCTTGGCAACTTTGTCCATGTGCACTGTGTACGTTGTTCCAGTCTTGCCTCTTGCTTGGGATGTGGGAATCCTTGAAGAGAACTTACAGGACTGTAATGATATAGGGCATGAAGGACCATCTAGAGATCCTCTAGTTTAGGATCTAGCAGGCTGACAGCTGACAAGTTTTCATTATTTCTAAATTAATGGAGGTAGCTAAATACTTTTTGTTGTTGTTGTTTTGGTAGGAGGATTAGGACAGAAAGAAATGAGAACCTAACGGCTGAAGTACTAGCTTGGGCCAAAATGTTCAGCTGGACAAACTTCCTGTCTCTGGCAGATGCCAGTAGTTCATGATTAGGGAAGGAGTAGCAGGACAAAACAGATGTGGTGATCCTTCCCCCATTATCTTCTCCCGGAAATTACAGATTTCTCCTGGAAATTATGTTTTTCCTAAGCAGTAGGTTGTATCCTCATTTTTTGTTGCTGTTGTTTAATAAACCCTGAAGATGACACACACACACACTGTAAATTTGTCTAGCTCTTTTTCAAACCCACTTGTGCCTTGGTGCCTGCATCATCCTGTGGCGATGACTTCTGCTGCACAGTGTGGAAAAAGTACTTTGTCTTACTTTGACTTCTGAATCTATGACCCGATGATTTTGTGTGTTGCCTCCTATTCCTTGTGCCATGAGAAATAACAAATGGTCTTTCCAATTTCACTGTCTCTGTACTGAAGCCTTTCCAATGTCGAATAAAGAGAGTAATTGTTTTACACATGATGTTCTTCTTAACCCTGTTGTCATAAGACAATAAAATACATCCCATGCTCTCACACGTGTCAACTTCTATAGAAACAGTGCAGCTCATCCCTGTGTTGGTGTACACAGTTGTTGCCTCAGATTCTGCGGGTGGTCCCCTTCTCCATACTGTTGCCTGGCACATTGCTCTTGTTTTGCATTTGGCTTTTTTCATTTGTAAATGTAGGTTTTATACACTTACTTTGGCTGAATCCCCACTTCAGTCCTTTTTCCATCTCATGGAGAACATTTAAGTTACTCCTGTGAAGGGCCTAGAAATGTCAGGAGGTGACACCTGTAGCAATTGCTGCAGGTACTTCCCTTTCCCCCAGCAGCTGCAGCTAAGGATGGCTGGTGGATTTCCAGGTTCTGGGCAGAACATGGTGGGGGGAGATCTGCTCTTTGATTTCTTCTAGGCCCTTCTTAGTGGTGACACAAGCTCATGAAAGACAGGGAAAACAGCCTCTAGGCCTTCCCTTTTCCTGACTCCTAGATCTATGTAGGCTTAAAGCATCCCTGACTTCAGGGCTTTGCAGCTGTGTAACTTGGCTTAAACCATCATCTTCCAGCAAAATTCCTTGCTTGCATTTCCTTCTCCTCCTCCTCTTCTGTGCCTGCTCTGGCTGTGGTCTGTGATACAATGTGTGGATTCCTTTGCTAGGTATGCAGAAGAACTGGCTACCACGAGGGTCCTCAAACACAGCTCTGAGTCTGCTAATGGAAGATGCGGAGAGAACCTAGCATGGGCATCCTATGACCAACCAGGTAAGCTTTCTTCTCTTCTCTCACAGACACTGGATAAATGGCTTCTCTCATGTACTCTGGGCTCAGAGCGTCTGGTTGCAAGAGTACTGGCGTTTCCTCTGCTTCGAAAATGCGTCCAACATAGCCCAGCCCAGGCTGCGTGGGGACAGGATGGTGGTTTGCAGTCACCTACGTGTACTGAGAGCAAGGAACACATGTAGGCACAGAGGGGGTAAGGGACTGTGGTAGTGTGCTATGTCCCTTTGGAGGTAGGACTTGGCAGCTAGGCTGTTCCATATGTCCCAGCTGTGGAGCTGTCTTGAGTGCTACTCATATGTCCATGGGAGGAGAGAAGGAAGCCATCAATGCCCTGTACTTCACCTTTATCCTTAATTTGTCCCAGCCAAAGAAAGGGCTGACCACAGGCCAACTGTGGTGAGCAAGGTAGAAAAATGGCCGTTGCAGGCTACACAGTAGTTCCTGTTTGTGGGGGCAAAAACACGGGGGGGGGCAGACACCAAAGTGACAGAGGCTAATGTGTTAGACATCTAGTCTCTTCGGCTCTGTCAGCAAACAGGCTTTGAGCCTTTTCCATGCCTTCATTTTTGAAGACAAAAATACTCCATATATTTTCTGATCATAAATGTAACACGTAACTGGCAGCCTTCGGTTTGGATGCCCGAGGAGCTGAATTTGGGCCAGGCTGACAGGCTGCGGTGAGCCCTCAGTCAGAGTGATGTTCAGCAGGCTCTTCCCTCCTGCCTCCTCCAGCAGGCAGGGCTCATGCCTTAGCCTGCTGAGACAGCAGGTGGGATGTATTAAAAGTGACCACTTGCTTTCTTTATTCCCATCTACCCCTGGAATTTCCAGCACAGCCTCGGGGAGACAGAAGCTCATTTCTGCAGGCTGGAGGTCCTGTTTGAAGGACCTGGAAATTTTAGTGAGTTTTAGACCCAGGGACATTGCTCGGTTCCTCTGCAAGTGCCAACGCTAGTCCCTAATGGGTACTTTTTTATGTTGAAAAAAGAAACCCGGGGTGGAAAAATACAATTTGATCTACTAATATTTGGCATTCTGTCCGTTGCAAGAGTCTGAGGCAAGAGTTCAGAGCAGCATGGGAAAACACAGATGTATGGCAAAGTTTGCATAGTGGCTATGACTCACTGACTGAGCTTACTTCTTCCTTCTAGTTTGTGTTAATGGCCTATGCTCCTTCCCCCGAGGTTAAAGTCACAGAATTCCCATTTAGAGAGTTGGAAACAAAACACACGGATCCTTCCATAAATTATATAATGCCTGTCCTTTTGTGGATCCCATTTGTTTTCTTCAGTGCACTCTTTCCATACATAACTTGCCAGTTTTGAGCAATTTTGTTGCTGTTTTTTTATCCACAGGATTGAACGTCTTGCTGAGAAAATTAAGCTACATCCTCTTTTGTTCTGTAAAACACTTCTACATTTCCTATGTAGCAGGGTCATTCAAAGTACTGGAATGAGAAAACTAGTTCTTCAAAGAAAGTTATTCCTCTCGTCTGGGCTTAGTCTTCATCTCTGTGGAGCTGGTTCATTCTTCCTCTTTTTCTCATATAGTTCCCTTTGGATAGTTAATTTGTACCCTGCTCAATGAGGCTGAAATTTGTATTAAGGCATCCATTCAAGGGCTTAACAAAGGCAGGCAGTGTCTTCCGGTTTCTTTCCCAGATAAAGCAAAACTCAGTAAACCTCCAGCATACTGTGTATTCTTTCTAAAAATGTGATGCTATTGCTTATTTTGGCTCTTACTGAGTTCTCTAATAATGCCAGGAGATGTATTTCTTGTTTCAGAGAAGATTTAAGCTTTCAACTGTAAGAGCCTTCTAGTTTGACCCCTCTCCTGGTGCAGGAATACCTTAAATTGTATTTAGGATTTTAGAGTTACATAGCCTAAAGCTGTAGCTGGAAATATGTTTATCCCTGTAATCCAAGAAATAGTTGACAGCTGTTTCCTCCCTCCAGTCCTGCAGGAACTGCTCTGTGGCAGACTTCTCTTTGTCTGTGTTCAAATAAGTGAGCTGTCATCTGCCACTAATGCAAGAGACCGCAGCCTGCCTTGGCAGCTGTAGTATGTCAAGCTTCTCGGGATGCCTCATCTCATTTCTCATGTGTCGGGAGGCTGAAGGCAAGCACTGGATGACTAAATTCTGGTTGGGACGGCTGGTGTGGTCGTGAAGAACATGCCGTGTGGTCTGTGAAAACACTGCAGCTTATGAACTCTAGAGAGTTCGTAAGAGAAATTCACTGTATGTTATCACCCAAATCTGTTATGGGAGGAACCTGGGTCTGCCTACCGGTCGGGACTAGTGGGCAGAGCGGCACAGACACCCTCTGCCCCAGCCCTGGAGGAGCGTGCTCTGAGTGAGAGCCTGCCTTGATGCATCTCTTGCTGTCTAACACCAGGCTTATACAGTACTGTTAAATAAAATAGAGTAAAATAAAATAAGGACCTGCATGAGGAATGCTGGAAATAGAGGATTACTTCCTAAATACATTAGTATGACTTCAATCTAGGTAGATATTTAAATTTGCCTCAGAAATATTACTTCCTAAATACATTAGTATGACTTCATTTTAGGTAGATATTTTATTTCTGAGGCAAATTTAAATCTACCTCTACTTTCTTTCCTCTCAGACCGGTGGAAGGAAGGCTGTGATAACAAAAGCTAGAAAAACGTTTGAGGAAAATTCTGAGGTTTGGGGTACCTAGTTTTTAAGTAGATCACCATGGTGCTGCCTATCCTTGCACAGAAATATGTCCTGTGTGATTTTATTAGAATGTTTTTAGCAACTTACTCAGTGGGATTACTTGAAGATTTAAGGATTCTTTAGTATGAGCAGAAACAGTAAGGCTGCGCCCAGAGAAATTAAATGTTAGGGGGAGCCGAATACGGTAGTAGGGCTGCCACAGCTTTGTGCCCCCAGTAGTGAGGCTGAGAGTGTATTCCCAGGCTTGCACACACAAACACACATACACAGCACGTACGTGTGTGTATATATGCAGGTGGCCACACAGATCAGCACAGACAGATGCAGTTAGCATTCACATAAACAGCACCAGGATGAGTGGCCTCATCTTGTTCCCCTTTCTGGCTGATCACGAAGTCTTATTGCAATATATAAAAATAATATATACCTATAAAATGTATTTTTTCCAGTAATATGTTCATATATATAAAAATGTGTATTTTTATAGCATAAAATAATATATCTAATATAGATATTTCAGTAATGGAAGTAAAATTCCAGTGTGGATCCCTGCAGCAGCTGGGCTCAGACACTCAGTCTGCCCAGTAGCTGCCCCTGTATCCCAGTCTTCCCAGCTGCTGGCACCTGGACATACAAACCCCTGAGGCTGCATTTCCACTCCAGTTGCTGGTACAGCACATCTCGCACACATGCACGCGCAGCTCCCTCCCCGTTGGCCAAGACCCCCCCTTGTCCCAGCGGTGGCCATGCACTTCCGTAGCGACTCCTCCCAGACCACTTCACCTGCTCCCCAAGTAGTCCAGCTTGCGCTTTGATAGTGCTCACACGCTCGCACCCGCACTAGTGCTCCAGTTGCAGGCACCACAGACACCCAGATCCCTGCAACTCTTGGTCTGATATCACTTGTTGGCACTCAGACTCCCCTCCCCCCCCCCCCCCTACACACAAAATAGAGCTCCTCACCCAGGAGAATAGTTAGGAATGAAATTTAATGAGACAACAGGACAACTGATGAGATGCAGGGCGTGGCCAGGCAAGAGTAGTGACACCTGTTTACATGCAGTGGCCCCTTTTTTTCTCTCTACCCTTCAGAGAGTGGTGTCAGCAGAAGAACTTTACAGCAGGACTGTTAGTCCTATGTATGGACTGACCTCATATGGTCAGTCCTCTGACCATATGAGGCAGCTTGAAGCACGGTTAGTGTGGCCACGTCACTAGCTCATAGCTTGGGTAAATAAAATAAAATCACTATGGTGATTCTGGACCTAGTCTTGGGCAGAACTATACTTGGGTACTAATTCAAGGATTGTTTTACCAAGTTTTTGTGGAATGTAGGTATGTCCAGAGAGTCACGGTACTGATGAAACTCACTAGAGCAAGATTCAGCCTGTTCCAAAATGCACATCTAGTAAGTCTAACTGAGCAGGTCATCAGTCAGCTATCGCTAGGAGAAGCGTGGCGTCAAACTATGTTTCCATAGAGAAAGCGTTGAAACTGTGAACGTGGTTTACAGCAATGCAAAGAGGAGGGATATTTTAAAAAAATAGCAATCTACTAATTGGTTCTGCAAGGGGAGCAAAAGAAGAGAAGCTGCAGCGCTGACTGTAGGACAGATCTGCATGCTTTTTGGTAGAAGTAAACTTCAATCATTTCTGCTATAATCGGAAATGAGGGGTGGGTGTGAGATTTCTTTTCTTTCCTTTCCTTCTGATTGAAATGCATTTTGAACAATAACCAACCCCTGGTTTGGAGGGGGGAGCTTTTGGGGGAGTGGGAACTGTTTTCAATGAAACATTCAAATGCAAGGGAAACGGGCACTAAATATAACTGCATCACTTACTCCGTAATAATTTGAAATGGAAATATTGTGGTCAGTTCTCTGAACCAGCAAGTCTGAGCATGCAAGTTGCTGCTAAAGCGGATAGGCTCAGTGCTCTGCTGACCCCTCTGCTGTTCTCTCTCGGGTCATTTTCTGTAGGCCCTGGGAAGCCCAGGGGTCACTGGGCTCAGAACAGAATTTTCCCTTAGTCCCCTGTGTATCAGCTGTCACTTTCAACACTGGTTTGGCTTGTGTCCCACCACTGCATTGTTTACTGCTCCCCAAGGGGCAAAGAATCAAAAGAAAAGTATTTCAGAGGAAAGAGAGTGTGTTTAATCACTAGGTGCCTACCTGTCTTCTCGCATGGTAACAACTTCCATGTAGGAATCTCCTCATCTCCTGCAGCATATGACAGATAGAATTCATTCCTTTCACTTCCAGGACACTTCTTTAACATGATTTCAAGACAGAGTCTGTCAAAAGTTGCCTAGTCCTTTGGTTACCTTCTCTTTTGCTGGGAACAAGTCAGTCTTTAATTTCTTGCAGCCTGTGATGCAATGACTCTTTTAATGCAAGGAGGATGACAGCAATGCCATGTAACGATAACCTGACCCTGCACATGAATAAATGGAGCATAGCTATCAGCTTCTAGGCTTTCACTGCCTGGCTGCAGTAAGTTGCAAGCTTTCATCCCTGAAGGCTGGGAATTAACACATCATAGATTGTGCTACCCAACTACGCGCGTTGTCTTTCATGTACAGGATTGAGGTATTCTTACCTGATGCCATTGCCATCTCCCTTGAATTAAAGGGTTATGAAATTTTCATATGATGGTATTCTTTAAATTAAAAAAAAAGTTATGAAGAGATACTGTGTTTGCCAAAACTTCCATGTGTCTTGCCACATTTCCATTACAGAGATTTTAAGTTCCTGTCACGTGGAGCCTAGGTACTCTTCTCAGAGCTACAATAAGCAGAGTGGGGATGACTTTCTCTTGAACTGCTCTTTACGCGATGTCACACTGATACTTTAATGGAGGGAATGAAGTGCTGGTAGCAGTGGGAATGCAGTCCTACATCTGTAAAAATACTACTCACATAGTATAGTCACTTAAGCACTTGTACACACAAAATCCATGTGCTTCATAACATCTGACATGTCTGCAGTCACATTCTGTACTTGTGTTCCACCCAGCTTTTCACAAACACATCTAAATCCTTCATAGCTTTGAAGTCTAGGGTGGGAGAGGATGATGTTTGGTTTTTTTTTTTTTACTATGTGCTTTTTCTTTTCCCCTTAAATTGCATAAAGATTGCCCTTTGCACATTTTTCAGTCTTCATTTTAGCTTTAGTGTGAATAACAAATGAACGGATATTTTATTTGCATTACAGACTTCTGCCGTAAAACAGGTCTACAGGGTTTGTTGTTTGGCGCAGGGAGAGCAGGGAAAGAAGGAACCTATTGTTATTCCTGAAACATTTACTTTGGGAAGCAAGAGAGGTTTTGCTACCTTTTTCTGTAGAAAATGTAAATTGACTCTACTAAGAGAGCACCATTCCTAACAAGCAGTGTGTTATAGATAAGTTCATAGTACTTTCAGTTCACAAACCTCTCAAGAGATGGCATTTCATTCAATGTTTTCTTCTCAGTGACAGCTCTGACAGCCAGCTTGCCAGGCTAACAACGCCATCCTTTTAGCAGACTGCACTCATAAAGCAACTGAAGTTTCGGGGAGTTAACAGCTCAGTGTCTGACTTCTAGAACATTGCAAGTTTCAGACTTTTTGCTGCAAAATAGCAAAACATGAGTCATTGCTGTTCTGCAGCCAACAGTCCACCAGGGACCAGCGTTCTTCATGATGGTAGGCTTAACAGTGTTGGCAGCTTGCTATGAAATCAACTGGCCTTGTGTTATACTTCCTGGAATGCTAAGCAGAAATTTCATTATTGATGTAGCTCAGGGAAAAACCTGCCCCCTTTTCGCCCCTGAAGCTCACTTAAGTCTTTTCAAACATGTTCCAAGAGGGAGGAGCTGCTGAAAGCTGTACGTAGAAGCCTAATGACAGGAGCACTCATCCAAGGTGAGGGAGATGTGTCTTCACTGCCTTCTAGGCTGAAAGTTACGGAAGGTTGTGGGCAGAAAAAAATGTAAACTCAGTGTGTTAAATTGCAAGATGATTTCTTTGAGGACTAAAGGGACTTCTGCCCCAGCTCAATCCAAATGCTGTGCCACACAGACCTCTCTTGTCCAAAGTTTTTTCTGACTTCAACATTGTAAAGTTTTAAGTGCAGGCGAGAATTGGTGGGTGGTCCTGTTTCCTGATCTATGGGTGATAGTATAGCGCTCTTCATCAGCTCTGTCCTACCAGACGAGCACCTTGCTGCAGAGATCTTCCCTGAACGGGATGAACTCTACCTGGTTCTACAGCTGTTTTGTGGGTTGCCTGCCCAGGCTTTGAGCCAGGCTGTGCAGGCCACGCGGTCCCTGGCACTCCAGTGGAGGAACTGACGGACTGTGTTTGCGTCGAGCAGAACTCAAGTCATTGATGGCACTGATGGCATGAGATGCTTAACAAAAAGCAGTGGACTAATTATTAGTAACTGAGTAGCAACAGCTACTGCAAAACAATAAATATTTGGTAAGTTACGTGTACTACCATGTTACCTACATTTCAAAAATTCTTTTCAGTAAAAAGACTGTTTCTCCATGTTTCTAGAAGTTCTTGCCAGCTATTAACAGAAGATCTTGCTGGCCGGGCTATAAGTGAGCTACACTTCTGTGTTTATGTCATGATTCCACAGCAAATTTCTTTTGTCTTTCAGGAAAGGATGTGGCTGACAGATGGTACAGTGAAATAAAAAACTACAGCTTTCAAAATCCAGGGTTTTCTTCTGGGACAGGTAACTTCAGACTGGACACTTTCTTCAACAACACAGCTTTTATTTTAAGAAATTGGCTAGCCAAATTGTTTTGGTATTTTTCAAAAAACTACCTTTATTTCTTAGAAAAAAATTTAGGGGGAAAAATATTAGGATTTCCTCAAAGTTTTATGTTAGAAAATTCACAACATGGTAAAAGGAAACTGAGAAATGAGGAAGTAAGCAAAATTTGTGGGTTTTTTAAATACCGTATTTTTCCCCTGACTCCAAAGTTTTTAAAAGGCAACTTATTTTTAAGGGAAATTAATTTGTAGAAAATACTAAATTGGAATCATATATAAGTGTCTTACTAAATGTACTAGGCTGTTGATTACATTGACATGTGTCTTCTACCAAGTTACATCACTCCAGTCACAGAGATAACTTCATGTATAATTTGGAGATCAGCCACAGGCCATTGACTGCATATTGACAATCCGGTGTTGAGTGAACGTAAGGACGTTGTTCCTTGAATAATGCTCAAGCAAGAGATATACCCAAGCTTGTTTCAGATGAAGAAAATCATGTTTTTCTCCCATGGGGTCTGTCTATGCATAGAAGGTACAACTGAGGGAGCAGCGCAATGCAGGGGTGACTATTACCACCAGGCAGAAGAAGCCACAAAACCAGTGTTATTTTGAGTAGTTGCACATGCAGACACGTGGGGGAGTATGAGATGGTCAAAGCGAATGAATAATTGTCACTGTCAGAACTGCTATTCACACTGCAGGGAGTGGAGACCGTGATTTCTTTGTCGAATTTTATATCAGATACTCATCAAACCACTTCTTTCATGATTCTCATACTAGGTAGTCTTATTTGGATATAGGACATGGAAATGGGAATAGTAGTGTGGAACCAGATCAGATCAGGCTTTTTCAAGGCAAAATGCTAGATGTAGTTTTCTTTTCGTGTCCTCAGCTCGTTCTCCTGTCAGAGAAAGAAACAGATTTGTATGGTTCTTTCTCCCCCCACCTCACGTGTGAAAGGGAATGTTATAGGTTTAGTACCTAAAACGAATGCATACGTTTATCTCCCTTTCTTCAGGTCACTTCACAGCAATGGTTTGGAAGAACACAAAAAAGATGGGAGTCGGAAAAGCATCTGCTAGTGATGGCTCAACGTTTGTGGTGGCTAGATATGATCCAGCTGGAAATGTAGTAAATCCCGGCTATTACGAAGAAAATGTCCTTCCTCCAAGAAAATAACTTTTTTTTTTTTAAAGGTAGTCTTATTGCTTAATGACAAGTGAACCTGGATTTGGACTTAACAGTGTTCGAAATTAAGTATGATGCAATGAAATTTCCTGTTTGATACTGCTGTTCACTTCTCATTACAGAGGAAGCAATTACATGTTGCTTGAGTCGATCCGCATGTTAGGTCCCTGTCGTTTCTGAGGGGGCTTCAGTTTATTTGAGGATGAAGTATATGCAGTATTTCTGAAGGGTAAAATTTATAAGGGTTTTTTTTTAATAGTTTGCATGAACTCTGTGTCAGCATGTGAGTAAGCACATGTTGGATGTCTCTTTTTAAACAAGCAAATTTATAGCTCTCTGTAAACTGAAGATACCAGCTTGTAATTACATCATGTACTCCCAGTTTTCCAGTATTTTTTAATAACTGTAACTTCTTTGCTCTATCTATACCTCCTGCTACTGTGGGGCCTGCTCTCTGCAGATGGAACATATGCAAAACTTCCCGTATGAAAGGTACATGTGTAAAATGTAGTGGCATTCAGACCTATATGTTTTTATTAAGAGGATCTCGCAGAACACTAAAATGTTGCTGGCAAAATTGTATCCGTCAAGCAAGCTATAACTAAGGCATGACCTGAAAGTATCTATACCTCCTGCTACTGTGGGGCCTGCTCTCTGCAGATGGAACATATGCAAAACTTCCCGTATGAAAGGTACATGTGTAAAATGTAGTGGCATTCAGACCTATATGTTTTTATTAAGAGGATCTCGCAGAACACTAAAATGTTGCTGGCAAAATTGTATCCGTCAAGCAAGCTATAACTAAGGCATGACCTGAAAGCTACTAAAAATTTTTGCATCTTAGCGTTACATTTTAGGTGCTAATATTTAAAATCTATCTGAGATGAATGTATTTCAAGTTGAACCCCCATTTTACAGTTTACAGTATGTACATTGTCTTATGATCAAATCGTTTACTTCTGTTATAGGAAAGCAAGATACTGCCTTTTCTCCTAGATACTTATGCACAAAGAAAGTTTCTTTGATGGAGCATGTTGGATTTTATTTCTCAATAACTTATTTTTATTTCCTAGGGAATATCTTCTGCAGGTGTCATGCTATACAGACAATAACATTCCCAAATCATCTCGTCTCCTTTAATAATGTCACAGTAGGAGGTATTCACATGGTCATAATTAAGAGATGTTTACTCTTTGTTCATATCATTCAATAATAGTAAAAATATTTCGTGTACTGATTGATGCCTTGAAAAAATTCAGATTGAGTTTCCTTAAAAGCAAGCAAGCAAAAATTCTGAGGATACTTTTTTCTCTTACGAAATGTGGATTGGTCCATTTTGGCCAGGTCACATAGTGTACTTCAATTTGGGGGTTTCTTTTCTTCGTAAATGTTTTCTGCTGAGATTCCGTATGCCAGAATTTGGTTCATGAAGAATGCCATTACAGAAATACTTAATTTTGTTTACACAGTTGTAATAAACTGCACTGTTACGGCTTGATTATATGTCACTGTGATGCTGTATGTTACGATCCTTTTGGTGTAACCAAGAATTTAACACATATAACGAACATCTGAAAATTAAATATTTTTGAATACGAATTACTCAAGCCTTTGCTGTTACCTGAGTCTTTGTTGAATAATCTTCAAATTTTATTTCCAGGACATTAACATGTGACATTATTGCTTTTGCAACATGGAGCAAAAAAAGCAGCAAGTATTCTAGTCCAGGAAGGAAAGAAGAGACCTTCTAAGAAATGATAAGTCATACCCTTTACACAAAGGTTGAGCTAACACTTGAATCCAAAGCTGAAGAGGCGTACCTTCTTTCTCTGTTGAACCCCTGCTTTGTATCTCATTTCATTTCTGCTGCTCCCTCTCTCGGCTGAGAAGTTCTCAGTAAGGAATACCCACTCCGCTCCCGCTCAGACGTGTGTGCTTCAGTAACTGCAGTCTTGGGGCCTTCCCCTCTCCAACCCTCAGCTGACACATGTTGCACCTCCAAATAGGCTAATGTTTTATGTGCAGCGTATTATCATCCCTGAGAACGAAAACAGGACTTTCTAAAAAAAATAGGCTTGCTGCAACTGACGTAAAGGTAAAAGCTGATGTTAAATAAATTAATGGTATTAAAATACTCTGTTTTGTCCTAATGATGTTGCTGCTATTTGCCCGATAATTCCTTGAATGGTTGGTGTAATACTGTGTATATTTTAGTTGAGGAAGTCGAGTCAGAATTTTTCTCTGCTGCCACCTAGGTTTTATTTTAATGTCAGAGAGAACTGGGAAGGTAGGTAAAGAGAGGACAAAACAAAACAAAACTTGTTGTTACCTTTATTTAAAATTATAGTGGCAAGTGAACTTCCAGAGCTTTCCAGATAGAGCATTTTGAGGGGGCATGAGAGAATCAGACACGGAAGAAGCACAAAGCCACTCAAATAGACCCAATGCACGCTTCATGCACTCCACAGAGCATCCATGCGGGTAAATATGATTGTAACAATTAAAAAACCCCTGTTAATTTAGTTCTTCGTGACCCAAGATCATGCTGTTGATGCCTTCTGCAAATGAACTATGGCTGCACAGAAAACCGTGGCGTACGTAGGAGTCCAAATGCAAAGGGAAGGGTAACATTGCTGATGTGACTCACCCAGAAGCCATATGATTTTTGGGAACTGTACACTGAAACCTGACTTAACCAGCCATCTGTATTAAAAGACTCAGTGTAGGTGTATTGTTCTACTCCCCACCACATCTTGGAGAGTTGAGGAGATTGGGAGGTGGCAAAGAAAGGTTATCTCGTGTCATGTTAGAGCAGGACAAGGTGTTCAAGAGCTGCTTCAGCCAGGGTGTCACACACAGAAGTCACATTTGCCCTGGGAATAAAGAAAAGGCTGGTCTGACAGCTCTGATAGCAGAGAAAAATACCCCTCTTTAGAGGCCTACAGATGGTTTCTAAGGTCTTTTTGCAGCAGCAGGAGGGGGAGGAGGAATTTTAGCTGGTCTGAGGCTTCACTTCCAGTCTTTTCGGTTGAATAATAACAAAACACTTAGGGAGGAACTGGGACTGGTCTTAAAAAAGCGCTAAAAAGGGAAGCCTGCATTAACGCATTTTAATTTGCCAACTTTCCTCCTTTATCTTCCCAAAAGGGCAAAACCCAGACAATTCCTCCTCCAAAAAGTGGAAGATGACATTGAGAAGTGGTAGAAGTACTGTTAGAACACCATAGATCAGACAGAAAGCCACATCACATGAACAATAATAATAAAAAGCCTATGGGCAATGAAGGTGCAAGCACTTGGCTGAAGTCTAGCAAATTGTACTTGGAAATGCTTCGCTTTTTGGGAGCTCAGCCAGTCTACTTGTCCCCAGCTTTAATTTTTCAAGTGGATTTGCCTCCAACAAAGTGGTTGACTTTGTGGTGGGTGGACTGCAGAGAAGTCATGTTCAACTGGTGGACTGCTGACCTGCAGGCTTTTGCAGAATGTCACACGTGCCCTAAGAATGATTTTAGCTTTTGTGGGTATCTCTGACTTCGATAGCCTTTTTTTTCTCTGTCTTATTCAGTATTCAAAGGTACTTTTCCATGTGACTGGTTTTAATGCTAATTTGAGCTGTCTTTTCAGCATCTGCTTTCTTACCTTCCTACGATATCGAAGCAGCTGACTGCAAAAAAGCCAGGTATGACTTCAGCTGAGGTATTGGACATGTTAAGCTTAAGAAAATAAAGCTTTTAAGAAGGCAAAGTGCTCGCTGGCATTTCATTTGCCCCAGGGTATGACAGTTGTTTTGATCTGTATTAGAAAGCCCACAACATGGTAATGTGAACAAAGCCACAGACCGCCCCGGCCTGTTGATTACGAACACCAATGCCGCTGGCCTTGTGGTCGCAGTACACGCCAGTGCCACGTCTTCTCTCCCCCAGAGGCTTTGTGAGGGAAGGGCTATGCGTAAGATGGCAACTGGAGGCTGTTTGACCCCACGCAGAGTGGCAAAGGGGCTTGAGATGGCACAAAGAAAGGCAGTGAGCCAAAGCCACCTCCCTCCCTTGTTGAACCTGGCACTAGAAATCTCCGAAAAATGCATTTCTAGGGAGAACGCAGGAAAAAGTGAAATTTGAAAACGTCATCATTATTTCTGCCTCCTTCACACAACCTAAAGACCAAAAAACGTATCTGCATGTCCAGCTCCACAGTGAGCTGTTGCATCCTTGTATCACCTTTCCCAAACCGTAGCAGAAGGAGATGGCGGGACTGAATTTTAGTGCCTCTCAGCTCTCTCTTCCCCTCTCTGGGGGACATGACGGGTTAATTTCCGCTCCCCAAAGCTCTGCACACCAGACTGTGAGTGAAGATTCCGCTTCTTGTGGCAGGAACACAGAGCAGGAGTTGCGCTAGGCCTGGTCTTTCCTACATGATCAGCCTGAAGCAAGTCACAAGCCAGAAAATAATCTGCTTCTTTAAGCTGCTAAGAAAGCCCTTTGTGAAATGTATTAAATGCTGCAAGCCAAGGAAGGCCTGAGAGTCTCCAGCAGTGCCTGGGTTTAGCCTCTCCCTGCCCCCTCTCTGGAGGCATGCTCTGATGGTGGGTACCCCTGCCACCCTCCTGGGAGGAGTGCCATCCCTGCGCACCCGCATGCCCCAAACAGCGGTCTGGGGGGCCGATCGACCCCCTCTCTGCTGCGCTCCTCCCCGTACGCTTCATAGTTCCTTTGCCTCTTCACAGAGAGTAGGGTCTTCGAGCTGAGTTTACCCTTGTACGACCTAGCAGCCACTGTAAATCTACCTGACAAGGTTCCTCTTCTGAGCCGGTTTACTTTCTTGAGCAGTGCTGTCAGGGTCCTCCACACCCTCTAATAAGAAGTTTTAAATTCTCTCCTTTTGCTCAAAAATGAATTCCTCTGGCTCTCCTGTCTAGGAGGATGCTGAGCAAGACACAGGATTGCAAGAATCTTGTCATCGATGCAATGAAATGCAGTTGGCTTTTGGGTATGCCAGGTGAACTGTAAAGAAATAACAGAGAAGAAGCAGACATGGATTGCATGGACGACATGCAGACTAGAATCTGAGACCTTTTTTAACAGCAACCTAGGAGAAGCTGTAAAGGGGTCTGCGGAGCGCAAAAATACATTAAAGCACGGCCAGGATGCGGAGCCTGCTAATCTGCAATGGCTGGGGGCAGCCTGCCTGGGCAAAGCTGTGCTGAGAGGTCATCAAAATCCCGACTAGGGTTCACATCCCGAAAGGCTGTGAACTTTCAGCACAACTTCTGCCCTACCCAGCAGCTCCGGGGTGCTCACTGATGTGTCAGAAAGGAAGTCGAGCTGGTTGTCCATTTTTTGGAGACAGTCACGAAGGCCCCTTTGCCCTCAGCTGTCTCTGTAGGGCTGCAGTCTCCCCTTTCTTCCTCGCCCTCTGGTGTCAAGTTAGCAGGGTAGCTGCAGGGGGAGCTGGAGCACTTGGGAAACCCAGTCTCTAGTCCCGCGCCTGATGGTCCTGCCGCAAGGCCCAGCGAGGCCTGCAAAGCCCAGGGGCAGGATATCGCAGGCTTACAACAATAAATGCCAAGGCATTAAATATCCCCTCTCTCCATTAAGGCAGGCACAGCTGTAA